TACCAGGTATCGTTTCAAGGTTGTCATTGATATTTAAGTCCATGCATCTTGCAATGTCAAACACTTAGTTGATGCATCTAAATCATTATTTCCTTGTCAAACCCCGTATTACAAAACGTTTATAGTGTCGAAATTTGAGTTCCTCTCGGTTTAGATTGTACCAGTCTCAAATCTTATCATAAACCTTCTTCAAACGAATCAGAGTCAAATTGGTTAGCCAAACATAGACAAAAAAAAAAAATATTTACCTAGGGTTTTTGATTTTGTTTAAAACGACTTCGTTTTAGTTCTCTTCTTTCAATTTTCCGGCGAGCTCTCTTCCTCTGGAATTCTGATTAGATTCTGATTAGAGCTCTCTTCGTTCAATACCTACTTTACTCGTTAAAAATCACGAAGCTGCTGATTTCTTGTATCTGGGTTTGTCCAGAGACAAGCTTCTCTCTCTGACCTTCTCACTCACCGTCACAACTTTGAGCTCTCCTCTGCTAGTCATCGCCGGAGAGATTCTTCAGAGAAACAAAACGCTTAAGCGAGTATGGGGAGAGATGAAGAGAATCCAGCGGAGAGAGAGACGAATTCAGTTGTTCCATGGATGAGAGCTCCGGTTGACGTCAGCAATGTCGAAAACTGCCCTCTTGAAACCCTTCCTTTCCTTGATCCCAGGTAACAACAAACATATATAACTTGTCTGGCTTGCACAAAACAGTTCCTTGTTAGTATTGCATTGTGTAAAGATTATGTAAGATAGCATACGATTGAGTAAGACCGTCCAAATTTGTTCTGTGTTCTGGATTTTTATCATCCTTTACGATATTCAGATGAGTAAAGAACTGTTTTTGCATCATTTGGTGCGTTAGGTTGAACAAGGCATTGGGGAAGATGGGTATATCTTCACTTTTTCCGGTGCAATTTGCAGTTTGGCATGAGACAATAGGGCCAGGTGGTTTCGAGAGAGACCTCTGTGTTAACTCTCCAACAGGAAGTGGAAAGACTTTGTCTTACGCTTTACCAATTGTGCAGATCCTTTCATCTCGTGCAGTTACATGCCTCCGTGCTTTAGTCGTATTGCCCACTCGTGATTTAGCCTTGCAGGTAGTTTCCTCCTCAGTCAAAATCAAGAATAGAATTTTCCCACTTCTGTGTTTTTG